AATACTTAAAAACTGGAAAGAAATAAATTTATTCATTTATATAATATGTGTAACAAGAGTTATTTTAGAACGAATTAAGAAATTTTGATGGAACGATATATAAATTAAATAACTCAATTATATCAACATAAAGTTCAAACACCCGAAACAATAATTATCAACTTTTATTATATATTAAGCCCGATTTTCATATTTTTTTTTTGCAATTTTGATTGTGCCTCCACTAACTCAAAATGTCTATTAGACGCCTATGAATACAACCACCCAAATATCAATTTAGTGCAAAAATTCATACCAAATTAGTGTAACATTGCTCACTTGGTGTGATTTTTAGAGTTTTTTGCCCTTCATTTTATGAGTTAATTGTCTCAATAATCACTGAATTTATGCATTACCTTTGACTGCTCGCTGAAATTTCAGATATCGAGTTTTGATAACTAGATTTATTAAAATGTTGAACGTTACTCATGACATGACATCCGTTACTCAACTCTAATGGAATTGATGACATGACAGACGTAATGAACATGTGGCGTAACTCATGGCATAACAAATTCCCATGTAAGAAAATGAAAGACAATTTTTATTGCTCACTATACTTTTAAAAACACATTTGAATGTTCACTATTCTTTAAGGTGATGGAGTTTTGACCACTACACTTGTGAAATTGACGCGCCGCCTGTCTTGGGTATTTAGGATTGCTTTTCTAAGTATCATTTTCATGCAATAACTTTATTTGCATTTATTTTAATTCGATTAATATTTTTAATTAAAATATATAGTATATTTTTTAATTGTGGCATTAAGTGTCATACTTTCCTTTAATTTATTAATAAATGAAACATTTTAGTTAATTATATTTTTTTAATTTAATAATGTTAGTAATAATATTAGTTGTAATTAAATAATTTAATTATTGAGAATTTAAAATATGGAAATAAAGGAAAGACGATTTATTTGGTGTAATGGTTGGAGTGATTCGCAAAATGGTCTAAAAGTTGCATCAATTTAATGCTTATACGCGAGCTCGTTTTCTAAATATTTTATTGTGAGTTTGAATGGTCAAAGTTGCAAATAGCAAATAATGCTCACTTGGTAGATAAATCACATTTTGTTGATCGATTTTCAAAATAACTAAATTATCGATAATAAGTAATTTCTAATTATCGAAACAAATATATTTGATAACATCAATTTATCATTAATTATTTAGAATATATTTGGTCCTTCGTATTAGATTGCACATTATGCTATAATAATAAATAAGTAGTATCTTTTTGTTCAAAAAATATAAGTGTGAACTTGTCTAATTGAGGTGAGGCTGATTTGGGTATTCTTGGTGGTTATCATCCATTGATCTTAAAGGCTTTCAACAACCCTTCTCTTCTTCCGTATTGGATTTCTGTGAGTCCAAACTTGGTTTCTCCTCCGGTTCAAGTTTTTGTGTCTCTAGCACTACAGCTTCCCCTCCACTTTTTTTTTTTTCTGTTTTTGGTGCCTCTTCACTTTCTCGTCCGGTGTAGTTCCATC